GCTGATTTAACTGCCCTGTTCAAGCTTTCTTGAATTTGTTAAAATTATAATAATGTTTGCGTAATATTTGTCGCAATAAAAAATGCATAGAAATAATCCAATTATTTTAAATATTCCGAATAAATCATGTGGATATGAAACCATTTGTTAGGCTTTAACGATCATATTTTGATAATTCCTTGCCTGTTAACAAGGAATACCAGTTCAATTTTATTGTCTTAAAGGGGCAAGATCAAAATTCAATGTCTGACAAAAAACTAAATTCACGTTGTTTTTATCATCCATCCCTCCTTCCCCTCAATAATAAATATGATGAATATCAAGAACTAATACTGTACTTATCACTTAATAATTTATATATTTCTTCTGTTTATTAAAAGAAAGAAACATTTTAATTTACCAATTTGGCATGGAATCTTAAATTACAATATGTAATTTTTGCGTTATTATCAATGTGGTAGAATTAAAAAAAACTTTTGGAGCTCTTTATTCTACGGAATCCACGATAAAAGGTGAAGGTCAGCATTAGTAAAAACAGTTGACATGTGATCCTTTTTGGGTATAGAATGAAAGTTTAATATCTAAAGTTTACAATATGATAAGCATTACTTAAGGTGTATTTCAAGCATAAATTTTGCCAAGAAATGTGTATTGTATGTTGAGACAGGATTTCGCACTCATGAAAATATTAAAAAAAATTCCTGTCCGACTCGTGAAATAAAATAAATTCCATATATCAACTATAAAACATTGAATATCCTCAAAGTTCAATGGGGGGGGGGGTTAAACCAAGTAAAATATTTGACAAGTAAAAAGAAAAAAATAGATTTGATATTCCAACTACGAGTATTCGCCATTATTTTCGGGAGATATTTACTCAGGTAAAAAAATATGGAGGAATTAAGGGGCACAAAGATACTCTTGACCGCCCCCTTTTCAAAAGTGGTGGTGTGGACATTAGCCCTTCTATTACTACGCCTATGATCTAACTGCTGATGTCTCACTATCCCCCGTCTTCAAAACATTTCTGAATCTCAGAAGTAACATATGTATAACACTGTAATCTATATATTATAAGTTGCATAAACGATATGTTGCACTTACATTGTCTCTGATATTTAATTTTAGCGGTATAGAAATTGATATATGAAAGTGTATAAGTCGTCCAAAACATATCGAAATAGTGTCATTCATCAGAAATAGTTGTCATATATAAATTGCCAAAGTTTGAAGCAAGTATGTTTGGCAATATTATTTTAAGAAAAATATCTCGTCCTAATGCAACAATTTGGGGAGGAGTTCACGAAATGTGTAAATGTGTTCGCCTTAGAGTTGCTATGATTATTGACAGCGAGATAGTTCAAGATTTAATCATAAGTAAACCCCAGAGCAAATTAAATTTTCAACCATTTATCAATTGTTCAAGTTAAATTTGACTGATAATTACTTCCTAAAAATTCAATGGTATTTAAAACTGCAGCCATTTTTATTCCTATATTGCTATTTAGTCTCAAAATAACAAGAAAACTGTCTCGTTTTAACGACATAACTAACTCGTTATAACGAGATAATTATCTCGTTATAACGAGATAACTAACTCGTTATAACGAGATAACTAACTCGTTATAACGAGATACTAACTCGTTATAACGAGATACTAACTCGTTATAACGAGATAACTAACTCGTTAAAACGAGATAACTAACTCGTTATAACGAGATAACTAACTCGTTAAAACGAGATAACTAACTCGTTATAACGAGATAACTAACTCGTTATAACGCGATAATTATCTCGTTATAACGAGATAACTAACTCGTTATAACGAGATAACTAACTCGTTATAACGAGATATTAACTCGTTATAACGAGATAACTAACTCGTTATAACGAGATAACGAACTCGTTATAACGAGATAACTATCTCGTTATAACGAGTTAATTATTTTTTTATCTTGTCAAAAATGAGCCTATCCGGCTTTCGTACAAAACAAACTCATGGACTAAAAATATTTTTTCAATTTTCAATAAGTTAGGATTTTCATTCATTACCAAAAAAGAAAATTCAATAAAATCACTTCTGAGAAACATAAAACAAAGAATATCAGATCAATGCTTACAAGAGGAATTATAATGCAAAGATTCATAATTCATCAAAACTAAAATTTTATCAAGTTGTTTTTAGTAATTTCAAACGCTGTGGATACACTGATATATTAAAAAAGAAAACTGAGAGATCAATTATTAGCAGGTTAAATTGAGACTTAGTGCACATAACCTAGCTTGCCATAGAAAAAGGGAGACATTTGTCTATACCCACAGATAAAAGATTTTGTAATATTTGCAACACAGGGGAGATTGAAGATTTCATTTTCTATTCAGCTGCCATAAATACAATAATCATAGGTTAACTTTTGAAAGGAACTTGATGGATTTTTTTCAAGGAAAAATATCAAATATGTCTTATACTCAAAAAGTTAAGTTTTGCTTTAATAGCCATTGTCCAGAAATACTGAAAATAACACACTCACTTATTAAAAAATGTCTTGTATCTAGAAATGATTGCATTACATAATTATTATACAAATGATGGTATGATTTATAGTTATGTATAGCCTCACATTCTATACTAAAATATTGTATATTTATGTATGAACAATTGATGATTCTTATAATGTGTTGTGCCTTTGCCAATTATTGTAATAATGTGTTTGCGCCAATAAATATTTGTATTTGTATTTATTTTCATTCCATAATTTATAATATACCAGACCCTTTGTTTATCCCCATTTTTGCAAATTTTTAACACATATGTTCATATAAATTATAATTATCATTGAATTTCATAGAACCAGAATAGGACAAGAACATATACTTATTGTAGTCCCTGTGAAACAGCTACTCTATCAACTGATCTGTTTGATCACCTGCATGATACAAACCTGCCTAACCATCATATTCCTCTCCTTCAATAATACATGGTCTATACCTTAAAGTAAAGTCAGTGCAACCTTGACAGGTCTTCCACCATATACTTCCATGGTATGGCATACAGGCACAGCACCAGATGTAACTATAATGTTGATGCAGTTGAATAGCTCTCACCAATATGTATCAGCATATTAGGTTTGATAAAAATATCTTGAAGTTTCTTTAAATTGAAGCTTAATATATATGTACAATTACCATATTAAGATAAGTAAGAACAAGGTCAAAGGAAAGTCATTAAGGTAAGAAGTGTTGATGCAGTTGAACAGTTCTCATCAATATATAAAAGCATTTAAGATAGGATAAAAATATACATGCATTAAGTTTCTTTGAAATTGAGATAATCACTAATTTAAGAAAGTAATGTCAAGGTCAAAGGAAAGGTCAAGGTCAAAAAAATGCAGTTGAACAGCTCTCATCAATATGTATCAGCATATGAATTTCTTTGATAATAATAGTTTAATGAATAATAATTATAATGAATAATTTCTTTGAAACTTAGCTAACCTCAAATTTACAAAAAGTGAAGTCAAGGTCAAGGTCAAAATATGGTGAAGAAGTTGAATAGTTCTTATCAGTATGTATCAGGATATAAGGTTTGATAAAAATATCTTAAACAGTTTCTTTGAAACTTAGCTAAACACAAATTTAAGAAAAGTGAATTAAGTCAAAGAAAAGGTCAAGGTCAAAAATAGTGATGAGGTTGAAAAGTTCTTATGAGTATGTATAAGGATATAAGATATGATTAAAGTACCTTAAACAGTTTCTTTGAAATTGCACTAAACACAAATTTAAGAAAAGTAAGGTAAAAGGAAATGTCAAAAAATGTTGATGCACTTGAATACATGTACTCTCATCAATATGTATCAGCATATGAAGTTTGATAAAAATACCAGGGGTACCTTGAAAAGTTTCTTTGAAACAGCTAAATGCAAAGTGTGACGGAAGGACAGAAGGATGGAAGATGAACATGACAAACACTATATGCCCCGGCCATATTCATGGTGGGGCATAACAATATGATAATCTAGTTTTTGTTTTTGTTTTTTTTTTTAGATAATCTAGTATTTTACTCAGTATAAATAATGCCTACAGAGGCTACTTGCAGGTTAAAGCTATAGACAGCTAGTGGCAAGCCCGAAAAGGATTCAAACTTGGGCCATCTCTATAGGTGCTCTACTAACTGAGCTACAACTATCTGGTCAACAGTAAACAAATCTGCTTGACTGCCACTTTCCTCCCTCCTTAAATACCTTTGCCCCCAAGAACTAACCTAGGCTCTTCCCTGGCTGGTTTTCAGACCAGAATTTGAAACCCTGATTTATAGACTGATGCTCTTCCAACTGGGCTATCAGGGCCATCGGCCAACACATCTACCCATGCAATCTGAATCACCACATTTACATGTATACAGAAAATATAAATTACATTTTAATGGAACTCTCTCATTGTGACCTCAGTTTTTATTCAATGTTCTACAAAGCAGAGATGAGTTAACCTCATCTCATTCATTAGCCTAGCAATATATTCATCTCTGAAGGTCCACATACTGTAGAATCACTTATTTTCATGGTTTGAGGAAAAAAATATTGAATAATTCATGGGGATTTAATTCTGTGATTGAAGAAGTAAACATTATTATGTATATATACATTGTACTTTGAAAGTTTAACATTTCGAGGAGAACATGAATTTGTGGGTCTCTACATATCAAAAAAATGATGAAAATTAAACACCAACAAAAATTAGTGATTTCACAGTATAGTTAAACATAAAGTGCCAAGGACGTACAATTTTGCTTCATTATAAACATAATTCATTATATCTGTTTGGTTCATGTATTTTAAAGCTATGGGGAATGAAAATCACTTTGCTCATCAATAATCAATTCGTTATAAGCCTGTTTGCTACAAGTGTGTTTTACTGTAATCTACATTGTTTTATAATACACAATATCTCCCCCTGAATTTAATAACTTCTATCTGACCAATAAACACCTAAAATCAGAACAATTCAATTAACATTTATTCATCTGTGTCAATTAACATTTATTCATCTGTGTCAACAGACACATAACAATTCTACAAGAATATCTGATCATCTGTGGAACAGTCAATGTGTGAGCTCTCCCAGACAACTACTGAGTATCTGTCACATAATGGACACCAAAATTACATTTTCAATTTAAAATCACAAGAATGTATTAAATCATATAAAAACACACTATCTATAGAGAAATAAGCACCAATTAATATATGTGTATAACATAGTTTTTTCCACAATATTTCATTTCTGTTTGAGGAAGTCTTAATAGAATACTGGTTAAAAATCTTCTAAAACTATATGGACAAAGTCCCTTAGTTCACTTGAGGTGTTTAGCAAGAATTTCAGGCACTTGTTCTTCTTTATAGTTGTAAACATGGAAATTCTTTCCCACTGCTCCAGATATCATTGCTGATAATTCTACAATTAAAGCGAAGTCATTAAATTTACATATTTTAAAAGAGATTATTCAGGTATCACTTAACTATTTTTAAATACTTGTTTGTAATTTCACGTGAGAAAGTTCTTCTTGGATATAGCCAAAATTTCAGTATACAACTTGTGCTCATGATAGTAAAATTATTAGGCCCACATAAATAAATTGTGTGTTTCCGGTTCCCCAACCGACCCTAAAATATATGAGCCAACCCTGAAGAATTTATCTGCCGATATCTTCCCGGAAGTTAACAGTTCCATTTTCACTATTAGGAATCCTAATCTCGATCACTTCAGCATTTGAGAAAATGCATATCCTATACCAATTAAAAAGAAATGCCATTAGTAAGCCGCCCTTTTGGGAAAAAGAAATGAACTATTTAATTTTCTCATTTTGTTTATTGTCAAAGTTGAATTTTTACTAATAAAATGTTAAAATAAAATGTTTTCCCTTCCTACCTACCCATTTTTTCTCGGGTTGGAATAGGAAACACACTATTTATTTATCTTGGCCTTATCCACAAAATATTTTAGGGTATTCATGATCAGTCAAAATTACCCAGGTGGTCAAAGTTACATCACCCTAATCTAGTTCAAATTCTGGTCCAAGACCACAAACTTTTCCCATATTTTTAGAAACCTTACATCCATGTTGTAGAGAAAGATTTTTTTTTTTCAAATTATCAAGCAAAACAAAAATAACATTTTGATAATGCAAGTGACTAGAATATGGACGCTGGTGAATGAATAGCAATAAGACCTAAGATTGAATTAATTTCTTTACTTACTCTTTCCTGAATCAGACCGGAAAAGACAAATAATGGTTTTGTTTAGGGCAAAAGCTCTGCCTATCTCGTACCCTACTCCCAAAGAGGGCTGTGTCACCTCTGCGACCACTACTATAATGACAAAATAAGTGCAGAAAGTATGTAAAAACATCTGGAGCTTTTTTCTTTTCTCATCAAAATTTACCTTTCAAAATTTCAGAAATAATACATTTGTTTATTTTGGAATCAATTTAATTCATGTGGATCAATTTCAGGGGCAACCAAAATTTTGCTGGTTCTTAGATATAATTCTTGGATAATTCATACATATATGGCAGATTTAACTGAACTGAAACACTGACAAATTGAAAATTACAGTTCTTGGGGGCATAAATTCATGGGTGAGGATGACTATAACATGTCTTAAACAAACATTGACGATTCCACAGTATAGCTGATCAGAATCATATTAATAATGGACAAAAAATAAATAAATAAATAAATCAAGTCCAAAAAATAACCTCCCTGGTATAGATTAGTCATAACTACCACTTTCATCATGAATCATATTGATAAACATTTTCTTCCAGACATAATTACTGTACCATCACATTGATTTAACCAGTCCATATCTCTGTTATGTATCTGTACATCTGTCAAACCAGTGCTATCCTCATCTGTAAAAGTATTTCCAGTTATTAAATCTAATATTTCCTTCTGAGATAAATCAATTTAAGATGGTGAAATAAATAAATATAATTTTCATACCAGTCTCAACTGTTGGGCTTGCTACATGCTCAGTTAGCACAGTGCCATAGGATTTCAACTGGGACACAATTCGAAGGTACAATTCTGCATCCTGTCGACCTCCCCTTATGCTGCCAGCAAAGTAAATTGTGTGTTTTCCAGACATATCTAACAACATTACAAGAGAAAAACATGAATTAGCTACAATCATTTGAAATAATTATAATGAAGATGGATTAGTTTGAACAACTAATAATGCAAGACATTTTATAAATATGTTCTCTTGGTAACAGGAAGGGGGGAAATGCAACAGACCAGACCAGGATTCAAACACAGCCCCCCCCCCACCCCCACCCAATCTCTATAAATGTGCTCTAACAACTGATCTATCTGGCTACCGGCCATCAAACCTATTTTCCCGCCACAATCCTCTCCCCTCCTTAAATATGAAGGTCTTCACTCCCCAACGACACAAAGCAGGCTCTTTTCTGGCAGGTCTTTGACCTGTCACTTTTAGAGCATGGCACCAAATTAAACAGAAAGAAAGTGTGACATACCAGACCAGAATTCTAACTGGGGCCCTGATTCCTCTATCAACTGAGATTTCTGGCTACATTTCCCACATCTAGATGTTTTGTCTCAAACAATCACATTTATTCATACATGTATGCATCTGCCAGTACAGTAATTGGTCATCATGGTTATTAGACATAATTATAGAGTAGCATTTATTCATACATGTATGCATCTGCCAGTACAGTAATTGGTCATCATGGTTATTAGACATAATTATAGTGTAGCGGAGCAGCAATTAACACAAGATGGTTTCAGTGTGATGTTGTTTGTTACAAGGATTATACTACATGTAGTACCAGATTCTTCAGAACAATATAAAATACATTAACTAAATTTGATATCACATATAACAGCAGAATCTGTTGTCATCATAAAATCAGATAATTACTACATATTAATTCGGTCATAAAATAATAAATATTGACACAGGTCAATGAGTTATATCTCCTGACTTTAAATACAAATATTTCTCTTTATATATTCACTTTATATAGTGGATAATAAATATTTACAATATACGTGTACATATAGCTACATACCAAACTATGGGTATGAATCGATCTCTAATTTATTTCTAATATAGTATATATGTCTTGCTATGGATTATTGTCAGTGGTCTATAAAATTCTCCAAATAACAAAAATACAACTTTATACACTCACTGCTCCTGGGCTAGTAATTAGCTGGACACTCTGGACAAAGGGGGTTAAAGGTTTCGGCAGGAAAAATATTAACCAATGGCTATTTTTACTTATTTTTTCATTCAAGGTTAAGAGTTAAACTTTAGTTGTAATTTTAGAACTCTAGGGATTTCTAGACTTTAATTATAGGAAGTTGTTTATAAATTTATTTAACTGTTTAATATTTAAATAAAACATTTTTATTTTAAATCAAGTTTATTATTGAAAGTTATTTCATAACTTTCAATGGCATCTGAAAGAAAAATACTGTTAATTAAAATCAATATAAAATCATGACTATCACAATAGCAAATTCCTTCAGTTAGCAACCGGCCTATTAAACAGGTTGGGCACACCCCATTAAATGGTCATTTATCCCCCGTTTGGTGGACAATCTCCCATATCGGAGACGAATTTTACTGACCATTTGGGACAGAAAAATGGTTGTGTTCAATTCTATAGAATGGCGTGGAATGGCGCATAATTTTAAACCACGTGGAATAAAATTTAGATATTTATCGGTGTTCTGAGTGAAAAAAATTGGAAATTCAATGTGTAATTTTTTGCGCAGAGTTGTTCAAAAATTTGACAAAAAATGTCACGTACGTAAACAAGTGCAACGTTTCTCAATTTTTACTTAAAAAGAAAATTCCCTCCTTATCCAATGATGCTGCACCTGTCAATCATGTTCGTAACTTTCTATTTCGATTATCCGGGCAACCAATCAAAAATGCAAACCAATACAAACGATGATCTTTTTTTAACCTGGTCAAAAGTCGGATTTAACTACGCAGGCACATTTGTGTTAATTTTCAATTAGGAAATCAAAAGAAAAATAAGTTTTCGCCTTTATTTTGTTTTATTTTTGTATGTGATGGCTTTGTTATTTATAAAAATAGTAAATGAAGTTAGATTATGATATAATTATTGTTTTAAAACGATGTACTTTTAACAAAAACAAGAATAATTGTAAAAGTCACCTTGTAAATCATTTATTAAAAATTATTGATCAAATATATTAAAATTCATCAGTAACATACATATTAAACCACAAAAGGTCACATGGAATATGGAACTTCATCCTAAAAGAAAAATAACAAAAGATATTACGTTCAAGTCTAAAAAATTTAACTTTATAGCAATAAGTGCCCACCATACCAGTTAAGTAATGAGGAGCTCGTGTTTAACGGGATTTTATAGAGATAAATATTGACAAAGATCCAAAGAGCGATTGAGAGTTAACTAATCAAGAGTTAAACCACTGGATAAAATAGAATTTTTATCCTACTAGACACAATCAACATTTTTTTTTGATCGATTGATCAAGAAGTTCGGCTGTTACGGACAACTATGGGTATCGTTTTTACGAAGTTATGGAGAAATTGCACATGGAAAATCGACCGAATTATTTCAATTGTGTAAGGAATATGTTCACTAAAATTCCCCAATGCCTATGCAAATGCGCTTTTACTTTATTTTAATAAAATTTGGAATAGAATAAAAAAAGTCCACCATTTGGTCAGTAAAAGTCGTTTCCGATATGGGAGATTTTCTACCAAACGGGGAATAAATGACCATTTGGTGGGGTGTGCCCAACCTGTTAAAAATGTACCGGGTTCATTTGTCCCGAGCCTTTAAAACGTCGAACGATTCAAAAGTTTCATAACAAAAGTTTATTTCCTACTTTGAATAATATAAACGAAATATAACAGTAAAATGGGAGAACTACACTAATTATGAACTGTTGAAATGAAAATGCAAACACACGTGTGCGTTTTCTGTTACAGGCAACGCTTACCAATGTTAACGTTTAAAAAAAACTGCATAAGGTAATACTATAGACTATTGTACCCTCAAAGCATGCCTGATATATGACTTATAATCAAAAAGATACCTCAAACGACTGACATAGTCTATTTACACAGCAAACTTAATTAAAACATGCAGCTTTCCACCAACAGAAAATACCGCGAATCACCACATACAGAATGCCGATCCCGATTAAATAAAAAAAAAAAAACAGAAAAAAAGTCGAAATAATAAATAATTCGTTGTATAAAGTTATGTTACATCCAGTATGAAAATTTTCTCACCCTGTTTCCAACCATACATCTATCAAATGTATTGTCACCAGTTTAAATATCCCCCACTCCAATCAGATAAATGTTAATCCTTGCATAGAAAACAGTATTTAAACACATGGGCTTGCTCCCGGCGTGTAATAGTTATCGTATACGGTATGACAGTATATGATTTTTTAATAAATAATTATTACACGCCGGGAGCAAGCCCCTGTGATTTAAATAAGAGTCGGAATTCACAGAGAAACGGATTGTAACATTGTCGGATTACTCTGTCTGTCTGATCAATGGATAGGGCTAACAGCGGGTGTGAATGGTCTACAGGGGATGTTTACTTCTCCTAGGCACCTGATCCCACCACTGGAATTTACAGTTTAATTTATGCCCTGTTCACAGATTTGTGTTTTTAAATTTTGTGAGATTGATCTCTGTTCGTTATCTTCATCTATTTCATTATACAGTTTTTACTGTAATTTCACTTATAAAAATGACCAATAATCATATGAATACTTCAGATAGCCTCCAATAATTTTCTGGTTCCTTAAATATATGTTACTACCATCATTGAAGAATTTTCAAACGAATCATAGATGAACATCATATACTTCACAATTCCTTATTCTTTCATAATTCTGCAACAAGATTGGGAAGGTCCAGTAGTTCTGTGGTGGGCCATTGGTCTTTCACATTTCATATTTGGATATTTTACTAGAGAAAGACATTAATAGCAAATTAACAACGAACCTTTATGATAATTAAATGTGATTTCAACTTTTCTACCATCAACTTCCCTTATTTATGTAGCAATATACCATTATCACCTGCATATGGAGTTTATGTCTCCCAAATGAGCTTGTTCTAAAATTAGACAAGCTATTGACAAATAAGTTATAGGATATTAGGATATCAACATTCTCATTTAAAGTCAACATTTCCCAAATTCTATGGTTGATACAAGGACCTTGTAAGCTAATACAATCTATTTCAAGTCGAATGTTGACCGACGGTTTTCATACAAATTGTTAGGCCATTATTTTCACACTCAATCCTCTACGGATGATCGGTTCTGATCATGACAAGGAGCACACAGCAAGGTGTGACCAGTCGACAGGGGATGCTTACTCCTCCATGGCACCTTATCCCACCTCTGATGATTTTAGAGGTCAGTGTCTGCTCTGCTCCCAATTTGTATTGTTCCGATGGACTTAAGAGCTTGATTTACAGTTCATTGTTTTCATATTTCATTAGCAGATGCAGGGCTCTCCATTCCCTATAATTGGGGTTGTTGAACGGCCCCATTCCCAATGCAAAAAATGTATTTTTTTCCCCAGAAGCAAAGTGTTAATTTCCCAATTCTTTTATGGCAAAATATTTTTTTAATAAAGTGCCCCGCCATAGCATGATACGCCCGTCAAATATTGTTCAACTGTAATAAACAGTTTAGAGTGCAACAAAATCATGTCAACCTTGATACAAGGATTTCAATGATTTTTCCATTCCTAATAATATTTGTTTATACATCTCCTGTGGTATAGGCATAAATTATAACAAATAGGTTTATTAATTTTACACCTTCTACCCAAGAAGTATCAGCTGACAAAGTTTGATAATCCTAGGCCTAATAGTATTAAAGTTATGAGCCGGACACGAGAAAAGCTAACAGACAGACAGACGGACATGAACGCCATAACATAATACGTCCCGTCTAAAGACAGGCATATAAAAATCTAAATCGATGAGACTTAATCGCCAACAAGTGAGAGTGAAACAAACTAGTTCTGCGTTGCACTGTATAAATTAGTGCATGCCACCAATATTTGTAAGCTGATTTGGCTTCGATAAGGAACCAGGTTTTCCCAATTTTCCCCAAAATGACGAAAATTTTCCCAATTTGAATGGCCCCGGCCCCCGTACCAAAAAGTGGTGCGAGAGCCCCCGAGATGTCACAGGTTCAAATCCCAGTCTGGTCAACCCTTTTCCCTACGTGTCATAATTGCATTACACAAGATTCAAACCAAAACCTGTGTTTGTAATAATAATTTTAAAAAACAGGGAAAAGCCTTTCAATTTGTAGTTTTATTTCAATACTTTAAACTTGCAAATGTTTCACCCACACAGTATGTAACAAGTCTTTACATACCATCAGTCTACAATTTATACATGAAGTTATAATTAAGCTATATTTTACAAATACTTTTGTATCAATAGAATAATATGAAAAAATATAGGTTGTTTGTGCAAAATATGCGTCAATGTCTTTTAATAGTTTTCACATGTATTCCCTGTTACACAAATGTATGATCTATGCCAAAATAAGATACCAGGTTACCTCTAACAACAAATGCATTCTGCATTCTCACAGTGTTATACAACATAGTATTACTTCTTGTAAAATTCACATTTCTTTTAACTATTTTGCATGACATATTGTTATAATAAGGAAAGGAACCAGTAACTTGTTGGAACTTTTTCCAATCCTTTTGATAAATTCAATAAAATATTTCAAAGCAAAACAAAAAACAAAAGAATGCATAATTTATGTACAGAGTAAAGGAATGACATTGAAGAGATATTAATAAACAATACCTACTGAAAGTTCTTCCCAAATACATGTTTAAATATTAATTTGTGAGTGTCATGAGTAAACATCTACCATATAGAATCCACCAATGAATTGATACAAGGGTCATGACCCCAAAATAGAATCACTTCAATGGTCAACAACAATAAGATAAGTTTGGTGATATGTATGCATAACAAACACATTTAATGAGCTAAGCCTCAGACAAAACACACTCTCAGAAAACATAAAAATGTTAATGAAACACTAAAGTGAATTATATACATAAAGAAATTATGTAATATAATTTTTCTTCTTAAAGATTGATTTTTAATTTTTTAATTTCAAAAAAAAAAAAAAAATAACAGACCTTTGTGTGTAAATTTAAACCTCTACAGCTTCTAACAAGACAGACGTCAAATAATGCACATTACGATGATATTCCACATAACATACAATGGATTTCAACAGACATCCAATGAGTTTAACATAACATACAAAGATTGTAAATGTTAATAATTTTTTAGAATAAACAGAACATCCTACAATAAATACAAGTCCAACACAATTTGATACAAAAATATCAAAATTTCTAAGTCTATGACTCAAATTTTTGCCATACCTGAAAACATAAACAAAAGCAATCAGGCCAAAATAAAAAATACCTTTGTTTCCCCCAACGCGACTGACCCAATTAAATCACGCCGACTTAAAAGTTTTTTTTAAGAAGATTATTCAAATATTTTTTTTTAATGTTTATCAACTTTTATAAAATACAATTTCATGAAAACCCGTTCTTATTAGAAATTCAGAATGTATTTTCAAAGCTGCTGTCATAAAAAAAATTATTTACCTACCTACCTACCCAACTTCAAACTTTAAGGTCGGGTTAGGGGAAACAATGATATTTTTAATGATGGCCTCATGTTCTTGACCACACCATATTAATTACAAGAAATTTAAAATCAATCTACAGTATATGGATAATTCACACCTGTATATTAAAATTTTACACTTATTTTTAGAAAGATTCGACTTTGATAATTTTTAAAACATAAAACACACAATCTTTATCCCTATTCCGTTCTCTGAAAAATGGTAATTTCATCTACTACGCTGTATATACATGTACCATATTCTGTGTGGTGAATTTTTAGTTCCATGATTGGGACAAATGTTGTCCATACATGTGCATGAATTCCTTATTTTGTGTTCTCCTCCTATAATATACATCACAGGCAGACATGTTCTAATGAGCTTTATGAGTGTACTCCCTCCATGATGGACCATTGCTGGTATCTCAATGAATGGCTGTAACATACACTGTATTTACCCTAGTCCACTTTCACTACTCCATAGATCTTGGTGACGAACCAGAAACAGGCAAAGAAACCAATTGTTCCTAGGTTAAAAAAAAAATAAACACATTATGCATAGAAATGTGCATCCACTGTATTGAGAACATTGCAAATTTCCCCCAGCCTTTTTGGCTAGAGTTTACCGTATACATATGCAGTAAAACTTAAAGTATACATGTTAACACCAGTGTTTATAGAATATTTCATTAAATGTTTAATATTTCTGAAATCAAATTCTGGTAAAATTGAGGAATTTTGAGAAACAAAATATATTAAAACAAACATAAAATCATGCACATCAAATCATCATTCTTAAACTTAGTCCATAAATTTCAATATTGTAAGCAAAAATCATGAGGTTCGACAGCATTTTTATTTGATCACTCTAAAATCATTTAATTTGTGGTGGATGTAATTTTGTGAAAACATGGTTTTGTAAAAATATTTAAAAAATACTTGATAGGGGACATTAATTTTGTTCTTTTTTAAAAACTTTACAACTTAACTCACGCAAAATTTGTGTTACCAAATACTCCCCCCCCCCCAAAAAAACCCTCCTTCCAATAAAATATACAGAATCCATTTAACTGATTCTTGGTGCTAGAGAATTTGCACACTTGCATGGAGCAAGAATTGTGAAGTTTGTTTCCTTTTTAAAGATAATTTCTCATATCTACAAGAAATTCTACAAGAAAGTGCAATTTAGTGATTTAGAGATTTACATGTATATGGTACAAAAATGAACTCACCAGTCAACAAGAAGAAGAGGAACACAATGATAAATGTGTAACCAAAATAGAGGAAGGTACTAGCTGCTCCATGTATTTCCAGCTTGGAGACAAAATAGTGAATACAGTAGCCAAACAGATACACTGCTGTAAAACCACTGGTCAGGAACGAACGCCACCACCAATGGTAATCCTACAAAATGTTCAACAGCTTATTTCTTTGCAAATTGTTCAAAAAAATGACTTTGATAGACTTAACTTTTGTTTTTTTAACATTTACTGTGAAATATCTCTCACACATAAGCTATGCTGTTTTTTAAAGACATCATTTAATGAGGTATAGCACTGCACAGACTAAAACTTAGTAAAGCCTTACTTCAGCACAGAGATGGAAATAACACAGTAGGATCGTGGCCTCGGAGCAGGTCACAATAAGTATAATGAAAACTAACATCAGGAACCCAAACATGTAGTAGGTTTGCTGTGACCTAAAAAGTAAAATTTATAAATGAATCTTAGAAACAGCTGAGCTAGCTATTATGTTTAGCTTTACACATTTCAATTTAACAAATGTATAAAGAAAATATTTTTTCTTATAGTACTTGCAGCTATAAAACTTGATAGAAATTTTTTTATCTTTTGAAAAGTTCATGTATTCACTTATTCCGGGATAGACATTAATGGTTGTCCAATTGCCTGGGGCAAGTAAATTCCCAGTTTAGGCAAGTGAACCTAGCAACATTCTTGTCGGATCAGACAAGTGAACATTTCTGATAGAAATGTATATCTTTATTTTACATTACACTGTAGTTTGTAAATTAAATAATAAATTGAACAATTGACTTCCACCTGGAATGCCACATTTTTGGCCTTTGGAATTCCTCTGTAACATTTCTAGATAGGTCATTTCATTCTAACCTTCATTTAATAATCAGGTTCATTATTCAGTTTTCGTTCACAGTAGTTAAAAAATAAGCTCTCCATATGACTACATTCTTAATTTTTTTTTTTTCATTATGAAATAAATATTATAATGTAGTTTTTCTGTTCACTTAAAGAATATAACAATATTGTTTTCTTGCTGTACTTTTAAGTCATCTTTGCTAAAGTATTTTTTTGAGAAGGGGGGATCCAAACAAACAGAAGGGCTCTACTGAAATTGGAAACAAATTCAGCATGTGGCAAAAATTTTTCACCAGCACATTGATTTGGCAACTCAAACTAACCAAATAGACAGATTTTCATAGCTTTAGAACATTAAATTTAGTTGATTTTTTCTATCTAAATTATGACAAACCAAGTTTTACATTTGGACAAGTCAAAATTTGAGTTCACTTGACTGAAAGGCATGTGAATCAGAAAGATAATGTCTACCCCTGTGTATGTAGTCTAGTCTATATTAAAATTTCATATAATTCTGAACTTGTGCTGAAATTCTTACCATATACTATTGAGAATAAAGAAGAGTTGGATGAAAATGCAACCAAATGGTAGAACACCTCCCATCAATATTCCTGGGAGGGGTTTGGTGTAAAACGATTGATCTGGAATCTGTCTTGGGATCTGGTTTGTTCTGACAGGGTGTTCAATAGGCTGAAGAAAAAAAATTACCAAGTTAATTAAAAAAATAATGATCTCAGAGACAAGATAATCACTGATGTGAAAATGGAAATGTGAACATTAGGGGGTGAAACGGTTCACTGCGGTATCGATTCACCGCAGTATTTTTTCTCGGTTTGATACACAGTGCAAAATCTCCATTTTCGGTTCCTTTCATTTTTTTGTCAGGATCGTTATTCAGTCGGGTTTGGTATAGGTAAAACACGCTACTCAACATAAAAAAAAATTTAAAACAATTTTTGGAGGATTGACAGTATGTAAAATAATCTTTAACAGCCAATTCATTCTAATCAACTTCTTCTAGTTAATTTGCAAGTAGATTACCGGTAAGTGACTGGATTCAGTGAAACAAAACATAAAACGTTGAATTTGTTTCCTTTTATGAAAATGTATTGTATCAAAAATAACCGAACCGAGACAAAATTATACGATACGTATCGTATAGTGAAGGAGGCGTATCGTTTCACCCCTAGTGAACATGTAGAAGCAGAGGGTTGGGAGGGGTGTCTTCAATAATTTTAATTTCACCAGATACATGTATATTAGATATATCCATATGCATATATACATTATACATTTACATGTGGATTCTTACAGTATATATGTAATTTGGCAGATTTTTTTGTATTTTAGAAAGGGGGAGGGAGGGGGGTTGTTGCACCTTTCTTTTTCCTTGATCAAAAAGGATGGCAAACAAATAAAATACAAGTACATGTAAAGCAACAATCAGCAATTCTTTATCTACCACTTACCCTTTTTTTGTATCCAAAATATGCACCTACAAATGTGAGGGGAACTGAGATACCAAACCACAAAGCCAATAATGCTATAAGTGTTGAGAAAGGAATGGCAGCACTACTTCCTTCAGCCCATAGCACGAGATTCAACAGGAAAAATATTCCAAAAACAGTTCTGTAACAAAATTTGATAACTAACATAAGCATTGGGTTAACGTACATTTGTATCTATTAAAGGGTTTTTATCACGTATCTAGATTTATTAAAAATGAAACACTTTTATATTCTTGAAACATATTATTACCGTTTAATTATGAAATAATGTTGAAAACGGCCGTAATTAGACGATAAAATGCCCGTAATATAGGGTCCTCGAAGTAAAAATCTCCACTAATTAGATAGGGGTCACGTGGTACTGAAACGTCATAGGTGTCAATGGTCAATAGAACTCGTAAAGCTTATCGTAAGAAAAAAATATATTGAATAGATTTTTACGCTAAATAAATAGAATACACAGTATGGCCGGTTGAAATTTTGACATAGACTATGTTCCTTTGGTTATGGACGGTCATTCTTTTAGGTATGAACGTCTAGCAGAGAGAAATAACCCGAAAATATGCCAACAATTGGAGAGAGGTCACCGAAGACGAAGCCGTTGACAACTCGGGACTTCAACTAAATAGAACGAATTACTAAAGTTTAACTTCGTAAACATTTATAAATATGGGAATTTTAAATTCCTCTTCATTATTATTTTGATTAATTATAAATAAATAAATACTGTATATCTTCTATCTGTTCTAGCAGTGCATATCATGTACTAGAAATGACACTTCTTCAATGGCGCCGTACGCCATTACGAAGTTCACAACATTCCTACTAGATTCTGTGCGTCTTTTAAAAAATGCGTGTTTGTCATTTATTATTTTTTAAAAAGTATCTTTCCTTAAAATATTTTATAGGACAGGAGAAAAAAAATCGTGATCGATCGGGCATAAACAATTGTTCTGAATGGAGATAAACACCATCGCATTTGCAGAGAAAGGCCCCCCTTTTATCTCTCGACCAAGTCCAGGAAAAGTTGGGGAAAATTCTTCCTAAAACCTTTCTTGTGCACATTTGTGCACCATAAAGCCATAAATTATACCTTACAAGTTGTCAATTATTCAATTATCACTTAATTATTTTCTAACAGGTTTAAAAGACACAACAAATGAGCCCTTTTGTATACACAATATGTAGTTCGCCTAACCAGGATTGACACCTATGACGTCAGAGCAATGGCGCATAACATCGGCGATCAAAATATGCATATTGAGAAATTCAAACTTTGAATCGCTGAAACATCAAAAATATTAATTTTCTAGCAAAGATTTTTAAATATATGAATTTAATAGCATGTAAACTTTGTCATATCAAAAGATTTTGAAACGTGATAAAAACCCTTTAAGATGTTATTCATGAATTTCAACCCAGTTCCAAAAGTCCACAAGCAAGATGGTCCAAAGGCTTCCATTCAAATTCTGATATACAGTTTAGTCCAATTTCTACTCAGAATGAAATACTTCCATACAAAGTGCATGTTACATTAATTTTAGTAATCCAAGCTGTATTTCACCAGTTTACAATATAGCCATTTGTTAATACATTGTAGATAAAATTGTTAAAATTCAGCTTACCCAGGACAGAGGAATGCTGTCAGAATGACATTTGACTTCCATTTTTCTCCTCCAAACACTAAAATAAATGTTTAATAGATACACATAAAAAAAAATCAATTTAAAAAATTCATGTGCTAGTAATAACACATGCAAAGTAGAAGTTTTACTTCTGTGGATGCTTGAGAAAAGTTAAGTCTTACTTTTGTAGATTCTAGCTGACACGTATCCTGCAGGTGTTCCAAGGCAAACATAGAGCACCAGAGTACAAGTCATCAGAGCTCCTCTATTGGCAGGGGATAAGAATCCCAGGCAGGCAAAGACTAAAATAAACATACTTAAAATAGAGTTGCTATGGATTGGAAAAACCTGGGGGGGGGGGGGGGTAACTTTTCAATCATATTTCAGCCTATAAAACCTTGACTGACAAGAACATCCCATTTACGGTAGTTCTAATCTCTTGCAATATCAATTTCAAACATTTTCGGATAAAGCAAAAAATAAATAAATAAAATAATAATAAATAATACATAGGGAAAACTGCTTACTGAGAGTTATAAACATCATGAAAAATATTTGAACACCATTTCCATTTAATACAGCCAGCATCATTCCTTTTCTTGGAGGTCTGAACACATCTCCATGGACAAGTTTCCAGCCAAATTCTTCTTGGGCATCCTCCTGTATTATATAATTATATACATGTAGTTCTTTATTAAGTCGCAACTTAAATAACATGAGTATTCCAAAATTCATTTTGTATTCACTTCTTTCTACTGAAAAGCATTTTTTTTTTCTCCAAAGAAGATATCTTTTGTGTAAAATGGTAAGAAATGCATTCATGAACAGTCTTGCTAGTGAGGTTAATGTCAAAACAGAAAGAAAACAGACTCACAGAATTGTCCATTTGGTTGTATCGAGCAATATCTCTGTGAAGTGTTCTCAACATGATCATAGCTACCATACCCGACAGGAACAGCACAATCACCAGCGAATTCATAATGCTGTAAATATTTAAATAATACAGTTAAAAAGATTAATTCTTCCATGGTATAGTGAGACAATTGGATCAAAGTTTTTGCCAGTTTTGCTTTCTGTGACTCAGAAATTACAAATCTCAGAAGTTCCCATTATAGGAAATACCCATGTAAAGATTGTATATGAAGATGTTATTTATAATTTATTTGAGAGGTAGGCAATATAGCTAAAACTTCAAAATCATGGAAAGTGCCATGGTTGGACTATTTCTGTGCTGGTGACCCCCTCCCTTTAATAGACTAATTACCTAAACCACTGGATGTTGGAATGAGGCATGGACTCCAAGATATAATCCCATCTGGATGACCACTTCACTGGACTGGTCTGCAATTAATGAAAAACATATTAGGATAATGTTAAACAAGTCTCTTTTTGAATCTAAATACAAAACTCAGGGTGATTACGAATACTGACATTAAACTCTACACCGTGATGAAATGTTTACCTCCCAAGTCACAGAGTATGTGTAGTTCATCTTGAATGGTTGATTCACATTTGCTGGGATACCCATGGGGCTTGTACTGTCATCACACTTGAAGGGGCCTTTCTCAGGATATTTAATACTGCAAATAATAACATTATTTTTATACCTTAAATGTAAAACATCTCAATCAACTTTCCAGTTTCTTACACCTTAAACAATGGTCCTTAAAATTGTGTTAAGTAGCAATAGGAACATGTAAGTCCAAAATTATGAATCTTAATACTGGTTACGAATACTGAAATGTATATCTGCTTTCAACAGGATTTGTATTTTGGAACCTTTGGCTCACTTGTTAGAACACTAATTTTGCAATCACCATTTAATTTCAAAGAATTGTGCGTTGAATTTTGAAACTTTCCCCTCAGATGAGACTTTGTTTTTACCTTCTAGGAGTAACCTTGGCTGACACAATCCTTCCCCCTATGTTACCAAAGCTGCTATCCCATTCCGAGTCCGCTGGGATGTGGTACATGATTTTTATATCCAGATGATTGAAGAAATAATATGTTTCTTTTTCTGTATATTTACCCTTTAAAATAATATCCACAGGCTTTCAAAAAAAACATTTCAATTTTGCAGGGCTTTAAACTGTTACCAAAAAATTTAAGGTACTTTATTAACTCTCATAGAAACACAATTTCACAGTTACATGTATTTCTAACCAACACAAACTATCTACTAGGAAGGATATTAGGAAAATCACAATGGTTTCTATTTTTTCTTTTTTTGTTAAAAGTTCACAACCAAAATATTGAAGACACGAATGACAAATTTAAGTTGTAAACTGGTAAGCTTCAACAGACGTCATTAGAATTATCCATGTTAACATTTCAGATCTAACTATCTCTTGAATAAACTCTACAGAATACAAACTCATTACTTGTACTTAAGTGGAACATAATTGGTCAACAACTGACTAAATTGAACAGGGGAAAAAAAATCTTACATTTATTACACAGGCATCTTTCCTTTTCCCCTCTTTTGTCACAAAGCAACCTATGGGGAATCCCCTGGAGCAGTATTTCTGATTGTTCTCCACATCGTAACACCAAGTGATGGGCATGTTATCTACGATCCTGTAAAAAACAAACTGTGTAATTAAATACACTGCATGCTTGACAAAAACATATATCAAGAAACTTGAACTCATTAATATGATTAATAACTGTCACCATATTTTGTGTATTTTCCTGTATGGTTTGGCATTTGGAAACCCCCCTCCCCCCTCTCCAGCGACTTACCAGTGTTCAAAAATACTATTATCATTTTCAACATTTTTAATTGATCAAAAAAAAATACCTATGATTTTTATTTTGTTTACCTTTAAAGTTGCAAAATGAGTCAAAACCATGTGTTTCTTTTGAGTAAATTGTATCACAAAACAAAAGATTTATGTGAAATATGAATATAGCGAAGTTTTGACAACTCACTGCACTGTTTAGCAAGAAAAAAACTGCAAAATATAAGTGCCGGAAAAGCAAATGTTGTGTATCTATCGCTTTGTTTTTATCGTCAATGTCAACAATGTCAAGGTCACGCGTCCTTTATTTTTAGTGTGTAACTTGTAAACAACATTGAATTGGGGCAAGCAGAAGTAAGGAATAAGTTGTGATCATCTTTTTTGAAGATTGTATCAAAATTTTCAGTCACTCGACATTTATATCTATGGAATTGAAACCATGGTAAATTCTTCAACTTTTCAGCACATGCGTACAATAAAGAGGAAGAAGTGAAGCAATATTTTTGTGATGGGTTATACAAAGATTTTTTTTACTTTTATTTTTCGCCATTAAATTAGATTTTTTAGCTTCTGAAACCTGTAATTTTCTGAAACCTAATATCTTCAAGAACTGAACAAAATTTGCATGTGTCATGCAAAAATTCTACCATTGTCAATTTTCCCGTTTGTCCGTCACAGTGTCACTTTAAGAATCTTTGTAGAAAAAAAATTAATCTTATTTTATTAAAAAGTATATTTTCCAATATACTTATCTCAAGACATACAAATTCCTGTAACAAATACTATATCTAAAACTAAGAAACAAACCAGTGGTGGTAGTAATTGTTGGCTATTCCTTTCTTTAAAAACTTCAATCGCTCCTTATCTTCATGTTTATTTGGGTCATAAGACTTCTGACAAACGTTTTTGCATGTCTCCTTTTTCATGAACGACAACTATATAAAAAAAAAATAATTTAAATGTTTCAAAATTAATCCACTACTAAAGGAAATGAAGTTTACAGATGAAATTAATCTTACTAATGTCAATGCAGAAATATTAATGCTCATATTTTGAATGGTAATAGATTAACTTCCAAGAAAAAGTTTTACTTAAAACTCTTAAATAGTGTTTGATATTAAACTACAATAATATTATTAAAAGAAAATTCCTAATACGCAAAAAAAAAAAGAAAGAAAGAAAGAAAAAAAAACTCACGGAATAAGGGGAAGGCCTTATCCTTTCACCAAACACAACTTGACCTAAATTTTCCACTGGAGAATCAGATTCATCCACAGTACAGAAATCAAACCTGTCAAAAAAAGGACATAAGCCTTACTGTCATGATCTCATTTTCACTACCTTACATCATTTCATTAAACACAGGGTTCGTACAGCCCAGCAACATCATTTTTATGCACTTTTCCAGCACTTTTAAAGCCATTTTCAAGCATTTTTCATTTTGGACAATAAAAATCAAATAAAGAATTTACACTATATACAACTGAGAATTTTAAAATTCCGTAAGCTCATTTAACCTCTCATTTATGTTTTTCAACAGTTTCTAATTGCTATTGCTATAAAAAGGAAAATCAATACAATTTTTTCTATCCTTTTTTAAATCTTTGCCTATATAGCAGCTCAAGATCCAAATTCAAGCACCATACAAAATATTTGAAGCACTTAAGAGGGCTGGGTGGTCGTGGCCATTTTTAGACTATATTGATCTCCTTTAGAAGAAGAGCTCCATATAAAGATATACAAAAATGATCAAATTTTAAAACTAAAATGTATGAATTTTTTCTTTGCCAAATGATAGCTGACAGCTTAAGATATCATATCTAAAATGATAAGTTATATCTGATGGTTAATTTGTTGACCCCCAGCCTCCTTAACATGCAAAGAACTAGGTTCATTTTATGCCAAAAATGGCCCTGTAAATATACAAATTTATTGACTATCACCCTATGTCTCATTCCAAACATCAATAAAAAAAAAAAAGTAGAGACTTGGTGCTTTCATTTCCTCTAACAAAGTTTCCTCTGAGAGTCCAGGTATTTGAAAACAGATCAATCCAAAAAATAAAACATGTATTAATTTATATTAATCTTCAGAAACAGATCTACCATTATATAATTCCACATTTTGGATCAGAGGTTGTGCTCTTTATGAAATATTGAATATTGAAAAAAAAGCTTCAACTTTTGGCGATTTATGAAGAAATTTTAAGAATATGGAAATGATGATGCAATTTAACAAGCCAAAAAAAAATTACATCATTTTTCAATAGATATGCAGCCATCATGGGTTAAGTGATATTTAATCCATTGTCAGTAATCTACAGGGTCATAAAAGGTCCCAAGTTAACCTTGCCGTTTATGCACTGTTCCATGACTTTGCTGTTTAATTATTTTTAAGCACTTTTCAAGGATTGGGTCAAAATTCACTTTTCATGGTCTGTACAAACCCTGTGAACATGTACTTTCTATATTGACTCTGAAAATTGGAACAAATTCAAAATATCTGGAACTTAAACATCTATAATGCATTTAACAGAAGCAGACATTTATAATAATTTTAATCAAATGCTCAGTTGTACTTACATTGTACTTATATAAATCTTTAAATATAACGAAAAAAAATACAGAAAAATAAACTAAAATCCTTACTTGTGATATTCATAAGGCACAATAGTTTCAACTGAATTGAGCCTGTTTACATATATTGGTATATCAGACTGAAAAATAAAAAAAATATATATAATATTATATAAAAAAGTTGATAAAACACTGATACATGGTGTTATGATTATACAATCAATATTCTAAACTTGCAGTATTATCAGAACTTTATGCAACAGTGTATCCAAACCTTTGCAAATGCTTTCAGTACAAATCTTTTTTTGTGTGTGCTTTATTAAGATTGACACAATTCGATAATATCATCATGATCACTGTGTCAATGAAAACAAAACCTGCAAAAACGATTGTTAAAAAATAGTTTGGTCAACATAACTGTCATTAGATTTGCAATTTTATTATATCCCCATCTGTGTATCATTCAATTTTAATATTAATTTCACACAATCACTTTTTTTTCTGAATCCATATTACCACTCTATGAAAGGATGATGTACATAGTTCACAGAACACATTTCTTTTTCTTGGATATCAAAACAAGTTCTTTCAAAATGTGTTTTGCTTAACTAGTAGATATTGTCTTAATAATTTAAAAAAAAATGTATTATATTTAGCTAATAATGGAGGGGTATATAAAAGATTTAGGAACACTTTACTTTACCGGTCCCCAGAAAAACGCACTAAAATATAATGTCGCTGAAGGCAACTTAAATATATATGAGATCGTGTGAGTGATCAAGAAAAATCAAAATTATGAGGTTTTAACCCTTTTTTGACCCCAAAATTGAATTCTACGATTAAAAGTTTACTTTAAAACTTCGTTTTTAAACAAAGTTTTTAACCTCGTTCTCTGAAAAAAAGTAATAAATATTGTTTATCCAGTGAAAAGGACACAAAAATTAATTGTAAACGAAGCGTGTGCTGCGTATGCTTAGTGCCATTTCTTTTGTACTTAGCCATTTTTTTTCATGCAAAAAACCAACGAGATGTCGTTGAAGTTAAGATCATGCAAAAAATACAGATGCAACTGAATTTCTTAATTAATCTAAAAGAACAAGACACTAACCCTAATCTCTTGGATGGATGCGAGACTAACCCTAATCAGTCAAAAACTTATGCAAGGACTAACCCTAATCTTTCAGGTGGGTGCATGACTAACCCTGACCAGTCGAAAAATGTGCAAAACCAACCCTAATCAGTAGAGTGACGTAAATCTTACATCATAATGCAATGAGCGCGCGGATGTTGCAGATCTGGGAATAAAGTAAAGTCAAGTCTACCCAAAGATTTATCATTACAACAAAAACTTAACCTGAAGAGCCAGATCTCGTTTCGTAGACAGGCGCGGATCATTACATCACTCTTTTTTGATATGATGATCAGCACCTGTCAACTAAATGTTGTCTGGCTCTTTGGTGGATAAGTTAGGCTACTGTTAAAAAAATGTATGTGTGGTGTGTAGCTGTTACCATGAAAATGATATCTACACATATTTTACAACAAGATGAATTATCAAATTTGATCTTGCAAGAGGTTAAAATATTCCTTGATACTGTTATGTAAAAAAAAATGCCTCTAATACACAATTTACTGATTTCAAGCGATATCGAAAAACGCTTTCTTATTCTCTGTAGATATAATCTTGCTATAGATGAATGTTATGACCAACGTGTTCAACAGGATATTGTCGAGTACAGACAAGACGGATTTTCACAATGACCCAACATGCGTTAAACACTGTGACACGTGGACAGTAAATTAAACCTATAAGTCATGTCCAGTAAATTAGTAAATAAAATCGTCTGCCATGGCCGATATACAAAATACGAATAAAATAACACAATTTTCTATACATTCATTTTGCATTTACCTTGCAGTTAGAGTTTCCTGCACCTGTTGCATCCTTTGCGCAGTATGTGACAGGGGCAAGACCTGGTAAATAGAAAGCATTGCTAATACTCGCGAGAAAAAATAATGTCGACAGCCGAAGTATCATTCTGAAGGCCTTCGGTATTTCTTTTCCTGTAGTGTCAACTCTATGATCGCATCTAAGATGGCCAACACGTCACTTCACACAAGTGCGCATGAACGAAGATCAGCTTAAAACCCGCAATGTACATAGGGAATAAATAAACACACAACGTACAGACTGGTCTGAAGCAAACCCTTTGCTGTAGGTCTATATACAAAGTAAGGGATTTTAATTAATATAAAAAACGTTGGGATTTTTTTTACCTATGAAAAAAAAACTTTTTTAATTTTTTTTTTTTGTGTACTCTCTGAAATTATAGATTTTATCAATGTCTCTGAAATAAATTATTAAAAATCTAAAATATTTTATAAGTTAATATGAGAAAGGTGCAAAGAATATTTACGAAAAATACTTTTTGTGTATACATGTGGTACACTTGTCTAATGATTAGGGAAGTCGGGAAATATTTCCTTTTCGACTATTTAGTCAAACGTTCCATCAGATTCGTTCCCCGTTGATTTGAGTCCAAATGGGGTTGGCATTTCAACTATATATACAACACCTCCACCCCCACCCCCCTTCCGAATAATTATACATATAAATTAATCTATTAATTCGCAGCATATGAGTTACTTTTAGCTGTTTAAGAAATTTAATTTTAAGATTATTCATTTCAATCATATCTATTTATAGATACAAAAAATATATACCAGTATATATAATAATCTTTCATTTTCCAAAGAAAATTGTGATTTTTTTTTGTCAAACAAGCCACGACCTGGAATGCTACTTCTAGTATACATGTACACCGTCCTGATCTGCATCTGTATCTCCCTGTCACCATGTATATACTTAGCTGCAAGGCTCTTAATTTGGAGCACCAAATTAACCGTCTTAATTAAATAATTTATTAATTTGAAGATACCTTTCATAGTAAGTTGAAAATCATTTGATGCTTGCAAAATTTTCAAGTAATTCATGAAATCTATCACACTCATAGATGATCATTATCATTACTTAAATTTTGAGATCCTGCTCTCTTCAAATGAATTTATGATATCAAGATTTGTCAATTAATTTTCGTTAATGCACGCTGTATTGGAAATTGAAAATAACAATGATTAAATTCATTTAATTGTACTCTCAAATTTAATTATTGAGCTCATTAATTCAATGATTGCTCTCTTCAATAAGCATATATGATTATTGTTTTTTGCTAGCAATAATTCCCACCATATTATTGCTCTCATCAGTTGAATTCATATGTAATGCAGGGGCTGACAAATTCCATTGCCCGACGCCCGGGAGTGGTGAATTTTGGGGATGGGCAAGTAAATTTTTAGTGACTTTTTTTTCAAGGAAAAAAAAGAGATAATAATTAGTTTTAAGTGGAAAAGGGCGCTTGTAATGATAAATTTTATCTTCGGCCTACTGTTCATAGTTTATGGTGGGGCAAGTAATTCAGGCATAGGGCAAGTGAATTTGACCATGTAACTCGCCCATGGGCAAGTACTTGAAAAATCTCTTTGTCAGTTTATTTATTCAATTATTAATGCGCACAAGTCTAGCTTTAAGGGAGATTTAGAGAAAATGTTTAACATATCTTACCTATAATATATCTCTTTATCTATATAGTTATTTCATAAAAATCCTTCTTTTACAACAAAGTATTTTCGGAAGAATTATAATCTCAAAACTTTTAAACATCAGTAGCATAAAACAAATGACTTCTCTTCTACCCTTTATACTACCACTCTTCACGATAATTAAACAACGGCTTTTTGACATCATAGACAACTGTTTCCTCAATAAAAATGGAACTCGTATATTTTCATATTTTGTGATTGGTCATCTACTAAATTACTTTGTTAAAAATCATTTCGATTCTATATAAAAGTACTATGAAGTTGCCATATAAATGTTTATATCTCTCAAATAAATCGATACTCAAAAGCATTATACGATCAATTTTTAAACCAAAGCAAGCTACTGATAAATAAGTTGATGTTACAAGGATTTCAACAACCCTGTATAAATTCAGCATTTAGCAAATTCTACAGTCGTTATGTACAATGACTCACCGGCTCTTGTTTCTGTAATGATTTGTTTAAACCCACTGTATAATAATAAATAAGGAATTACGTGCAGTAACCCCTTCCCCAGAATCGCAGTCATTTACACTTTCAGAGAAAATGCACTGACAAGCTGTTCGTTCATTACCATTACCTTATAAAAAAAAAAATATCTACACAACCAAATATGACATACTTGTCTTTATTGCCTTATATTATATCATACAGTGGTATGTACTAATTTCTGGAGGAATAGGTTCTTGGATTTTGATTTTCTAAAAATCTGTTTCTAAAATTACATCGGAAAAGTATCATTATGTTTTGTTTGTTTGTTTTTTTTTTTTTTCCTTTTTGGAAAATAAAAGGTAAACAAATTTTATTTATTCACTGCAATATTTTTAACATTGGAATTGAATTTTTAAACATACTCATTTAATTTGCTCTCTGCTCGAGATTAGTTTCATACAACTTCGTAGTGTGAGATGAATCTTCAGTCGGCAAGCAGAGTTTTTACGCAGATTAAAGGAGATAAAATGAAAAATTTATCACAGAAACAAGTGCCTGTGCTTTGTAAGTAATACAACCTATCGTTGGGTCGCATTTCGTCAGTGTTTCATACCATTTGTTATAATTAAGTCATTGCTTTTATAATGAATTTGACAATGGAGTACTTCGTCTACCTAATCAATACATAGAGCTCACAGTGGATGTGAGTCCTCGACTGGGGAAGCTTACTCCTCCTAGACACCTGATCCAACCTTGGGTCTTTCCAGGGCTCCGCGTTTCTGCCCTGTTCGCGATTCGTTTTTTTAACAGGATTTATGAGATTGATCACTGTTCGCTATCTTCACCCTTAATAATTTAATTGAATTATTGCGCTCTTTGACAAAATATGAATTGGAAAAAGAATCGATGAGCGCATCAAGTCCTCTTGTTAAATAATTAAAAAATATACATGTTCTTTTATTGAATATTTTATGTTCCGCCTCGATTGTTTCAGATCAACACACCATTTATACATGTGTATGTACTACTACTACTACTACTACTACTACTACTACTAGTCCTCTTCGTGTTGGTGTATATACCGAGATCTAAATTAATTTTTACGAGAAATATACCACTTAATCTTTGTTGAACTTCTCAACAATTGAGCTGTTTCCATGGAATCAATTTATTAGACCAATAATTGATCTGATGCGCACAATATTGAAATTTAAAATTATATTTTCAATGTTTGTAGATATCTTCAATTATTTAAGACTATGTTAATTTGGCGATCCATAGGGCTCGGGTAAACCTTATTCTTTCATGATATCTCACTTTGCAAAGTTTACAGTGTCCATATATGCAATGCATCCTGTGAAAATAAGGCGAGGATTAAGGTGGGGCAATGGGGTACACTGGGTGCCCCACCCCAGAGAGAGAGAGAGAGAGAGAGAGAGAGAGAGAGAGAGAGAGAGAGAGAGAGAGAGAGAGAGAGAGCAGCAAGAAATTGTTTGAGAATAATTCTTCCTGCGCAGTGTTTGTAGGAGCTCGGTACATATAATAATGTCAAGGTTTATTTTTTATTCAAAAAGAAACACATCATAAACTAGAGGTGTCCTATTCCTGCTTGTATTAAAAAAAAAAAATCACCAAGAAAGATTAATGCCGTATTAGAAATAATTCATTATTCATATAATTGGATATATACAGTACAATCGTTCTTCAATCAAGGCCACTGGGGGATGTTTCAACATATCGTGGAAAAGAGTAACCAAAGGCAGACTCGGCGCTGGCGCACCGGGTCTGCGCCCCCTCCCCTTCTCGTTTGATTTGTTAAAAGTGAAAATTAAGTCATAAACAAGAGAGATTTTCATCGCAGATGTAGTTGGGGATGAAACATGATGTGTAAGTACGTATTAATTAATGGATTCAAATAATATTAATTACTCGCCTATAAGTCGGTCCGCCGATAAGTCGGTTGTATTTTTTTTTTAGGTAAATCTGTGTATTTTTTCTGAAGGCGGTGCTTATTATCTCGGGCTTTAATTTAAACAATATTTATTCAGAATACTGAAAAGATTGGGCAACAGGCATAATGCCTATAAATACCCTCTCTATACAAGAAGTCAAGGTTATAAATACAATGAACTGAGTGAATATATATAATTATTACAAATTCAGGTAAGCACACACACACACATTAATTATTAATTGTATAAATAACATATTTTTATAAAATATCTATCAAAATGAAATGTACTTTTAAAAACTGTTTTCTTAATCTGATACATTCTTGTACATAATTTGTAATAAATGTTGAAGTTTTTTTCATACGAAAACCCCGAACTCTCATCAGGCCAGTAGTGGGGGGGGGGGGGCACCTCCCTTTTTCTGAGTGTAGTATTTTGCTACAGTAAATTTTCCTTTAAACGGTGCCCCCCTTTTTTTCTTACTGTAAGGTCTAACACAGGCAAATTCAAGGATTGCGTGTCAGATTTTTTGAGAACTCCCCCCCCCACTTTTGAAACCGCTGCCCATGCAAAAGAATCTTTAGCTCATACGATACACCAAGCTCATGTACGTTTTTCTTTGCGTGCTATATGTAAGACAATTCATAAAATAGTGTTCGTTATCTTCATGATGGTAATCACACCTAAGACAAGATGCATCAGCTAGTAGATACTAGTAATGATTTTTAAGGTGTGCATTAAGGTTACTATAGCTTTATTACGTAATTGACAGTGAAGTATATTCTCTTTTCTGTTACCACAGTTGAAATATTTACAACTGCTAAATGGTAGTTTAGTTTTGACTTAAAGACTGATAAAGAAGGTAACATTTTTACATCAGAGCTAAAATTATATTCCATAGTTTTATAGTTGAATGAATAAAACTATTATAGTACATAATGGAAGAGAAAGATTACTTCTGTCTGATCTCAAATTATAACAATGCTGTACTGGTTGGAAAGGCTGTAATATAATTTGCAGAGATAATATGGG